CCCCCCTCGCACGCAACACTCATCCGCTTCTCCTTCCTGTGCTTCTCGTTTGACAGGGCCACCGGGATGGAGTTTGCCCTGAAGATCATCGACAAGGCCAAGTGCAGCGGAAAGGTGGGTGCGGTCACCCCCGGAACATGCCGGAAGCCGCGTGCGCCACAAGTGCCTGACATTGTCGATTGACAGGAGCACCTGATCGAGAACGAGGTGGCCATCCTTCGGAGAGTCAAGCATCCCAACATCATCATGCTGATCGAGGAAGTCGACACACCTACAGAGCTCTACCTGGTCATGGAGCTGGTCAAGGTAGGGTCAGCCGTCGTCGGTCTCTGACGGGGACCCTGATACGCAGTGCACACACCCCATGACATTGAGAGGGACCCTCAGTGCATGTAAAAAGGTATATTAGACAAGTGATTTAAAAGCAAGACTGCCACCTAGCTTTGGGAGGGTGTATTACACCCCAAAATTCTGGTGGTACCTCCCTGAGGTGCATAATGTGTGCTTTTCGTTAAATGTGTGGAGTCATTAGGTAGGATAATAGCTTCTAACTAGCAATAGTACTAAATCAAAGTAAGGTCACTCCAGCAGGTCATGTAGTTGTAAGCTTATGGTCACCCACTGCAATAATTTGTCATCCTTACTTATTTCTGTAGTGGCACTGTGGGGGCAGTGCTGGACTGAGTTATGTACGATTAGTAGTGCTGTTGGTAGGTGGTATCGTAAGACTAGTACAGATAACGGTGTATCGGTGTATCTGTACAGGGTGGGGACCTGTTTGATGCCATAACCTCCTCTACGAAGTACACAGAGCAGGACGCGAGTGCCATGGTCTACAACCTGGCCAGCGTCCTCAAGTACCTGCACAGCCTGAACATCGTGCACAGGGACATCAAGCCGGAGAACCTGCTGGTAGGTAGCGGGTCGTCGGGCCTCGCTCCGGGGCTGGAGCTGGAGCCGTGCGAGATCACATGCCGATATGATCGATACTATATGGGCTTCAGACGACAGGCAGAAATATTTGTTCGGACGCCAGCTTTTCGGTACTTTGTGGACATTTACTTACGGCCACAGTTTGGTAAGCAGATTAGCAGCATAAAACACTAATGAGACTCATATTGTGACGCCCGAAAGTTAGTAACCTGTATACATTTGGTGTGCCCTTATGTTTATTAAGTTCGGCTAGCAGGGCACGGCGCACGCGACTGCGTTGGTGAATCACGGAAGCGATAAGCACTGGTGAAGTGGCGGTGAAGCAAGGGACAGATCAGCAGCCACAGCATCTTTTAAAAGAGGAGATATTGTGGATAAACGAGGTAAAAAGACGGCAGGGGTGTGGCAGCGCTTCTCGCAGTTTAAACATTTGTTGAACATTAGGATACGGCAAATTTATAGATTACTAACTTCTGGGCATCACCATATGTATCTCATTAATATTTCAGGTACTACTAATCTACTTAACACATTGTCGGTGTAAGTAAACGCCTGTATAGTACCTAAAAGCCAGTGACTGGACAAATATTTACACCCATCATTGCACATACAGTCGCGGTGTGATATTTGTGCAGCCCTGGCCAGAGCTTACGAGGAGAACCTCCTTAGTGGTTATCTGCTGGTCTGCTGAAGGCTGGCAGTAATCGGTGGCATGATTGCTTCAGGTTTCTGGGAGGTTTCTGGGAGATTCTGCATTCACTGGCTCCGTCGATCCCACAGGTCTGCGAGTACTCCGATGGCACCAAGTCTCTGAAGCTGGGAGACTTTGGCTTGGCCACCGTCGTCGAGGGGCCGCTGCACACCGTGTGTGGGACGCCCACCTATGTCGCCCCGGAGATCATTGCTGAGACTGGGTAAGGATAGGGGGGCATTTGGGGGGGTTCCCTGTGATCCAGAAGCTGTGACGTTTGTGTTGTAATGTGGGTGCCCTCACTCTGCCATGTGCGGCCACAGGTATGGGCTGAAGGTGGACATCTGGGCGGCCGGAGTCATTACCTACATCCTGCTATGTGGCTTCCCCCCCTTCCGCAGGTGGGCATCTGTGTGTCGACACCATTCACCCGCCTACCCGGGAGCAAATGCCATTCTTATATTATCTCCATTGCACATATATCATCTCCGAATTTATTATTATTACATCCCTTCCTGGGATCAATGAAGTTTATCTAACCTCATCTGTCTTGTGCCTCAGTGAGAACAACCTGCAGAAGGACCTATTTGAGCAGATCCTGGTGGGCAAACTGGAATTCCCGTCTCCTTACTGGGACAGCATCTCAGACTCTGCCAAAGTGAGCACACGGGCCCAGTAACATGTATAATTCCCAGCCAAAGTGAGCACACGGGCCCCTTAACATGTATAATACCTAGCCAAAGTAAGTACACTGGCCCGGTAACAAGTATAATTCTCAGCTAAAGTGATCATACGGGCCCAGTAACATGTATAATTCTCGACCACAATGAGCACATGGGCCCGGTAACATGTATAATTCCCAGCCAAAGTGAGCACACAGGCCCCGTAACATGTATAATTCTCGACAAAAGTGAGCACATGGGCCCTAAAATGTATAATTCTCACAGACATTGTGGCATTGAGCCTGGTGCCTGTCCAGCACCCGGGGGGGGGATGCCAGTCCTTCACAGACAGTGTGGCATTGAGCCTGGCGCCTGTCCAGCACCC